TAAGAATACTCTTAAATGAGAATATATCATTATCAAAATTTTGTTTTTTGTGTATGCACTTAGTTAAAAATTTGATTCATAAAAAATGCTAGTCTTGAAATGGTAAGTGATAATACCAATTTTATATTTTCACTAATTGTTTGCTACATCATAATAATTTTTATCATAAAATTATATTTTATATAATTGTTTTCTTTTAAAAATTTTATTTCGGACAATACTACATTTATCTTTCACAAATTTGATTTTATAACATAATTAATTTTATCACATCATAACAAATAAATAGATGAATTGCTTTTTAAAAATAAAAATATAAATACTCAACGAATGTCACGAAGTAGTGAATTCTTTATTTCTACTAAATCTTTTAACATAAAATTTTTCCAAAATTTAAAATCATTATTAAATTTCTATTTTAAAATAAAAAGAAAGGTCAATTCATCATTAATAAAATTTGCCACATAAGCAACCAATAAAGACTTGCCATCTCACCTTAATATAGCCCACATAAGCTTGTCTTTGGCGACTTTTTAGCAAACGGAGTCTCAAATATTATATTAAAGGATTATATTTTTTATAACTAAAAAGAAGTTTTTATAGAATCTTTTTTTAATTATGAAACATTATAAAAGCTTAAGTGAGATTGTAACAAAAAGCACCCTAGCTTGGATGGTTAAGAACTCAACTAAATGACCAAGAGATCCTTGTTTCAAACCCCATGGTGGTATGCTTTTGGAAAAAAATTGCAAAAAAAGGACTGGTCTAATCGGTCAAACCGATCGGTTTGTCTAAAAGGGTGACATATTAGCTCGCCACATGTCGCGCTTTAACTTTGCCAAATGTCACCACATCAGCTCGCCACATGTCATGCTTTAGCTCTGCCAAATGTCACGTTCTTATAGCTCCGACTCTCCTTTATATATATAAAGGATTGGAGTTCGCCGGCATTGTTACTGTGAGCCATGACTTCCATTAACGACGCCACTACTGAGATCTATCACCATTACAGCTATTGCCAATCGCGACACTTATGCGCCTTCGCCACTTGAAGGCTCTTTTTTGCAGCCAAAGTTGTGAGCCACTATGCCGCTGAAAGGATTCGTTGCCTTCGCTAATGGTTTCCAGGCTGGGCAAAATCTGTTCGTGGCCATATGCATAATTAGAGGTGAGGATCCTTGTTATGTTTTTGGAGTTTTTCGTCTTACAGTAAGATGGATGGGCAGCACATGAAGATAAGGAAAAAAACATGACATGCGACCATCAATTATGGAAGAAGGTCTAATTTTTAAAAGTGATAGGAGAGAGGAAAATGCATAGTGGTGGGGTCTCGTACCCATATTCTCTTTATATCATTTATCTTTTCAAGACACATGCAAAAGAATAAGTAAGTGAGAAGCTTGAGAGTATATCATCACTTAGGCTCCACTTCCAAAGTTATAAAGAAGATGGATGCTAGACAACAAGAAAGGATATTTTTTGTGGGGACAAAAAAAATTATTACTGGTGAGAGTATATGCCCACAACAACATTCTTATCATTAGAATCATGGTGTGAACCAAGTTGGACCGAATAAACCCATCGCTCATTCGTCAAATTTTAAGGAAGACTAAGACACAAGCCCGGACCTGGTACGCTGGTTACTACACCGGTCTTGCTCAATATAATAAAAAAATATAGATAAACCCGTAAGAGGGGCCCCGGATAAGGGGTATGCCTGCAATCAGGCTGGACCTAAAAGAAGGTTCAAAACCGTACTTACACAGACTCATGAGGTTTGACCAGGACCGGGGAGTCAGTCGGAACCGTCAAACTGATTGGGAGTTAAAAGATGCCCATTAAAAGAAATAGAAAAGGATCATTCATCGCAATGTATCCTACTCTGACCATGTCGGATTCCCCCTTCTCAGGGAAGACTTGAACGGGGGGTGAGCTAAGGCCTTTTACCCCGGGATATTAAACATCAAAGGACCATTAAAAGACTTAATCACCGGGAAGAAGGGGCCTTGGAAGAATGGTGCATTTTGGGTCTTGGAGAGGGCTCGAAACCATCCGACATGATTAATTCTCCAATGTTGATCTGGTCTGGCCAGCAGCATTATCTTAGAAGAAGACTGAGATAGAGGCCCGACCTGGCATGCTGGTTACTACACTGGTCTTGCTCAGTATAATAAAGAAAATATGTGACCCAGTCGAACGGGTACACTGGTCTCACACCGGTCTTGTACATATTTTCCAACGAGCTTGAGCCCAATCGAATTGGGTACACTGGTCACACATCGGTTTCAGCAAAAAAGTGAGCTGAGCTCATTTTGGGGACGCTCGATTCATTTTAAGCCCTCTATTTTAGGCACTTTAATTAAAGATGGTCTCCACGAGACATCCAGATATTTACATCAGTCAACCGGACTAACACTGGTCTTCAACAAAGCTACTGCATCGTATTCAATTCTTATTAACTAACGTCGTTGTCATCAGTATATTAATTTCGTCACGCATCGTTTCCTTGACTCATATTAACATCGGCCTCGACGAAATAACTTTTTGAAGCACCGTTGCTTCATCGAACTAACATTGCTCTCGTTACGATAATTATCCGCGCGTATTTTAATCACCCTAACACCGAACTCCTCTGTAAAGATAATATATTTTGAGCACGACATAGGTCGGTCAAAAAAAATGTTGTACGTATTATTTATTGCAGGAAAAACTTCTGATTCAAGAAATTAGAAGACCCGAAGGATTAGCAATAATATCAACAGGTCAAGAATCTAAAGTACGACGACTAAAGATAGCACTCGGAGGACTTGTTTACTTTCTTAAGTTGATGATTCTCACAACTTAAAAAGTGGAGGACTTCTTGATGGGAAATAATACGTGGTTCAGTTCACATTTTCCAATTATTTATGAATAACACTCAAACTGGGTCATTTTAATAAAATGGAGGAGTAAGAAAATATTCCCCGATTATGCTCTCCCTCCTTCCCTATAAAAAGAGGGATTGCCCTCAATGCTAGGGGGGCTAATTTCATTCCCTCTCACCACTATCCCTCTCAAATACTCTCTTTCTCTCTCTAGAATTTTATGTATTTTATTTCTTCCAAGAAGCTTCAAGCTTCCATTAATGGCTTTTAAGCTCAAATCATGTACCAGGTACAACCCCTGATATTAATAAAAATCCCCCGTTAGCAAGGTACCGCAAAAAGAGAGTCGTGGTTTTCTCCTGATTTGGGTTTCCACGTCCAAATCCTTATGTTTATATTTTGATGTAGTATTTTTTAGACTAGTTTATTGTTTTTGCCCGACTAAAAACGATATACCGGCCGATAATATACACCATCATTTTGGTGCCGCCGTGAGACCTAAACAGAAAGCTCTAATATTTTTTTGTATTTTTTTAATTTATACGGGAAGAAAAAGTATAGGTTTGTATAAATTCAATAAACCTAAATTATTTATATTTGACGTTTAAATGATATGTCTCAGAACTCCATATTGTAGAATCACACACAATTTCCTAATTAAAATATAGTTATGGTGAAAGAAAGAAGGAATTTGAGAAAAGGATAGCCTTTGTGCGTTATGCTGATACTATCAAATTCAAATTCGGTGATACTATCAAATTCAAATTCATGATGAGGATGTAATCGCAGACTATGTCTGTTGGCACTTTGTGATTTTGCACTGTGAGGGGTTCATGTGTTGGTCGGAAATGGCGGGCTGCTGTGAGCAAAGGATCGAAGTACGGAGTCTCTCCGGCGAGAGGACAACCGCTTCCGTGTCGCCGAACCTTACCGTTCAACAACTCAAGCTCATTCTCAAGCAAACTTTTATCCCCGCATCTTCTTCCTCCAATTTCCATCTATTTTTCAAGGCATGTACATTCTTAGCCATATATTGTTCCTTGTTTCTTTTTTCAATTCAACTTTTTATGAAATTTTTCTCTCCATTAAATCGTTTCTGTATCAATATACTAAGGCTTGTGGCCGATACTTGTTACTAGATTGGCCTGATTGTATAGTTGCTTGAAGAATTAGCCACTACCCAAAAACAACTACAAACCCATCATAAACCCACTGCTGCTGGCGAGGGTCAATATATATGCAACCATAGCTCGGTAAAAATGGCTCCTCTAGCTTCCTTGGCATTTGGCAATTGGTATATGAATGAAGAATTGGTACATTCAAATGATTGATAATGAGTAGTACATGCAGAATATATATAGGGGATGACCGGCTACACTAGGTATTCTACATGGGCTGGGTTAGACTAACTATAACTGTATACATATGAACGACGGGCCTATACAATATATTCTAACTAATATGTTGCAAGTTCAGTGACCATCTAGCCATATTACTCTCCATGGTCGTATATGACATGCTTAGAAAAGAGCTTTTGATGAGTAATATACTCATTTGTTTTAACAATTCGGGGAAAAAGATTATTTTTGACCAGTCAAAAAGCTCTTTGAGGTGTTTGTTAAATTAGCATTTGGAATTAGTAATGTGTTGGTGAATATGCTTATTGCAAAATCGTGATATGTAATTAGTTTCCTTTAGAGTTTTATCTTGTGTTTGTGTAAGTAGGTAATTACTATTAGCCTTGGTATTTGTTGGAAATTGCATTCTTTTGGGACTCATTTTCTTATGAAATTGTACTTCCTCCATTTTTGTAATTGGATCAGGGAACAAAATTGTTATTAGAGAATAAGGTTAGCAGCTATTCAATTGGTGATGAAGATTTTTTGGTTCTTGTTCCTTTTGCAAAGAAGGATAGACTAAAGTCTGAACACTCTGCAACGTCCCCAGCTATGTCAGAATTTGCAACTTCAAAGCAATCTGAATCAACATGGTGTGATGTGGTGGATGACCTGTCAGTTTTGTGCAGTGAAATTAACAGCAAAGATCAAAATGATGTTGAGAATGAGACAATTAGTTTGGGAACAAACATACATTCAAATAATGGGAATTTCACTTTGAATAATTCTTCACAAAGGAAACGCAAGCTAAAGTCCCAAGTTATTAAGACATATGGACCTACAGATGAGCTCATATTTGACATCCTGCAGTCATTTAGCAGTAGTATAGTGGAGCAAACATCTAAATTTGTTATGGTTTTAGACTCAGTTAATTGCTTAAGTGATCCAAATTCAGGGAACTGCATATGCATTGAAGCTCAAACACCGAACAATGAGATGGATCCACGTTCTGGAAAAAATAAATTTTGCTTGTGCCCATCATGGTTGAAAAGTAAACTGAAATTATTTTCTTTCATAAATGTATATTATGCTGTTACTCAACTTCAACATGGACAAGTTACTATGTATTCTCTGAAGAGAGCACTTGATGAAATTGCTAAGTTTGGATTTCAAGCCAGTATAACAGATGTTGAGTATCTCTCTGACCTGTGTACAAAGGTACTCTTTATTTGCTGGATTCCAGTTATTCTTGACGATTTAATCACAACTTTTGAAAAATAAAACGCTTTCTACTTTAAGTTGATAACATCAAAGTTTGCTATTGGTCTCAGTTTTTTATTATAAAGCATTCGGTTATCTGTTATGAGATACTGTGCATAATAAGTGTATAGCCCTAATTAATAACCTCACTTATCTCCAAAGTATACTTTTCCTTTACAGCTTATAAGAATTGTTGACAATTATGATGCAACAATTACTTGTACCAATGCTATCGTGATCATTAAATCTTCAAGTGAACAAGGCGAGCAGCACGATGGTAAGCTTATTGCTCACCTGACGTGGATCTTGCATATTAATTGCTTCCTTTGGCATTGATCCAATTGGATCTTTCAGTTGCTAAAAAGTGTATCCCAGAATCAAAGATAATCAGTTCAATGAAAAGACGGCAAGAGTGCTTCAATACGAGTCTTTTGAAGGCCTTAAGATCATTAATGGTATGACTATTTATCACTGCACCTTTATTTAAAGTGGCTACCTTGCATCTTTGGATACTTCTATCTCATTTACAGTTAATTATAAGACTAACAACGTTCAAAGTTCTGTTGTAAGTTCTTGTGTCAATATATCCGTATCTCTTCTGTGCCCTTGGACAGTACTGTGTTTTGGCTTCTCTTTCTAACAAGCTGTTACTCTGCCATCCGAGACTCTGGTTGATGATTTTGCAGTTCTATTTTTGAGTTTTTTGCACCCTTTAGTCTGACTCCTGCCTTGTTTAGCTTCTGAGGACTTTCATTTATATGTAATGTACTGTGTTTCAATTTCCTGCAATCTCACATTATTATCAATTCCATAGAAGTGGAGAAACAAGGCATCATTGTAGTAATCATCATAAGGACCTTATGCCCAAATCCCAACTATGTTGGGGCTGGTTTCATGAATGATATACCCTGTAGTGTTAATCAGTGGTCAAGAAAGTAGTTATCACTATTATTCATACAAAAGGAATAGTGGAAAAAGTTTGAGATCGGATGTTATTTCCATCTCAATCTTCTAAAGGACTAAACAACAACAATAGCAAACCTAGTGTAATCCCAGATGTGGGTTTCGGGGAGGCTAGGATGTATGCAACCTTAGCTCTACCTGTGTAGGGCAGAGGTGCCTGTCTCCGATATATTCTCAGCTCAAAAGGCTTCTAGATTACTAATTAGAGGAAATTCCAAAACCGTAATAATTGGGCTTCTGGCTGGTGCTCTACTTAGTGTATAGATAACCAACTATCTTGGGATACATGTAGCCCTTTACATTAGCAAACATGTCTTCTTTCTATATCCACAATTTTAGTACTACCTTAACTCCTAATGAAAACTTTATCATGCAGCTTGAAGATCGAAGCAAGTTTTCTAGTTTCTCCTTGGAAGATTTCATTCTGCATGTGAAGCAGTGCAGTGATGTTTCAAATGGGAACAAAGTGAAACCATCTGATTCTCATTCATTTAAAGCACTTTGTCATGTATGATTCATTCCTTTTTACCCTCTCATGCATTGCGATTCCCTATATTATTAGAGTTTCATCAAGTAGCAATGTAGGCAGACTGTGTGCTGAGAAAAGCTCTATTAGCTGTCTATCTGTTGAATAATGAAATGTTGATCTATCACCGTAGTAATGCTGCTTACATCTTTTTATCGGTATCTGAATTAGGGAAAGGGTCAATCTTCTCAATGCCAATGCTATTGTTTTTTCTGTTCTCCATTGCAATAACAAACCCAGTAAATTTTCACGAAAACTAGGGTCTGGGGAGGGTGTGTCCGCGAACTTTACCCCTGCTCAAAAGTAGAGAGGTTGTTTCCAAGAGACTCCTAGCTCAAACACGGAACCACATACAAAGTAAACATCGTAGCACTAACAAAGTAAGAGCACCGAGACAAGAAGCACACATACCGCAATTAGCCACTAGATCCAAAGCACAGGAAGTAAACAAGCACAAACTACAGACTAAGGTAAAAATGTACCAGCAAAAACTACAGACTAAAGCGTACATTGAATCAAGTATACTTGCTTCCTTATATTCTTTACACAAGATTGATTTTCACATGAGGGAATTTTTTAAGTCACTGTTTTATTTAGCTCTTTTTCTCTTTTCAAGACATTGGGATATGAGGCAGCATCTATGTGGTAAGAGTGTTGATTATTGCTTTCTTATCCTAGCAATTATTGATGTATTTAAATAAAGTACAACCTTTTGGTGGTGAATTAGTTTGGTTCTAATATTAAATAGTCATCCTGATCTATTATGATTTGCCACAAAATATTGCTGATTCCGTGTCTAACAGTTTTTCCAATACAATTTTTGTCTTGAAGGATACAAACCCAATGCATCCTATTGAAATTTTGGATCATCTTAGGAAATCCATTGGATCTAAAGGACAGGTTACTTGATCCCAATGTTTTCTTTTTTACTTTTCCTATATGAATTATGTTGAATTTTCTTTTGGATTCCTTTTTCAAGTGATTGTTTCTAGACCTAACTGGACCTTGTAATCTCTAGCATACTAGCCTGTATATATCTAATGTGTATTGTGGCATTGTGTGTTATACATTTCTTTGCAGATTGTTCATGTTGAACAGATCAATGCTAGGAATGCCACTTTTGTAGAGATTCCACATGAACTTTCAGAGTGTACCCAGGTTGCATTGAGAAATATTGGAATTACTAGGTTATATAGTCACCAGGCACGTCACTACCTTTGAGTATAATTTTTCCATACCATAAAGCTACTTTTTTTTTCAGGTCTCTCATAACTGTTTGCACAATACATGCAGGCTGAGTCGATTCAAGCATCTCTTGCTGGCAAAGATGTAGTGGTGGCGACGTTGACATCCAGTGGAAAATCTCTTTGCTACAACCTTCCTGTTCTTGAAGTACTATCATACAATTCATTAGCATGTGCACTTTACCTTTTTCCGACTAAGGTTTGCCGTCTTTCCTGTGTGGTTAACTGATTGTGAGTTGTGACTTCGTTACATGGTTCAGATTTTGTTGCTTCAGGCTCTTGCACAAGACCAACTGAGAGCTTTATTGAGCATGACAAATGAGTTTGATCTTAACCAAAACATTGGTGTGTATGATGGAGACACGTCACAGTCAGATAGGATATGGTTACGCGAAAATGCTAGAGTGGTATTGCAGTAATATTTAATTGTTCATGTAGCAAAATTGTTATTTATGTTCTTATGGCCTTCCAGTAAGTCTCAAGGTCTCTTCATCCCAATCACTTCCTCCATCCATGTGTGTGAATACTGAACTCTTCATTTGCCAATGTGTAGTTGATCACAAATCCAGATATGTTACATATGTCTATCTTGCCATTCCATGGACAATTCAGCCGGATCCTTTCTAATCTAAGGTGAACTTTTATGTACAGTTTACTTCTCCATTGCAATTGAAGTCAACTTCTTTCCTCCTGGATTCTTTCACTCTATAAATTATTTCACGTTTAAGATTTGTCAAATATAGATGGTTTATAATTGTTGCTGTTGTTGATACACATTTCCATTCTCTTCAAGTACAGGTTCGTCATTTTAGATGAAGCTCATGCTTATAAGGGTGCTTTTGGCTGTCATGTCGCTCTTATTTTGAGAAGGCTTCGTCGACTCTGCTCTCATGGTTACCATCTATTTTGGTTTGCATAACTTTTTGCTCTTTTTGTTGGTTTTGGCAAGACATGTAGAACTTATCTACTGATGAATTCTCATGCAGTGTATGGTAGCAATCCTTCTTTTGTATTTTCCACTGCCACTTCGGCGAACCCTGCTGACCACACTAAGGTGGTAACTCATTTTTCTGTTCATTCATAAATTTATTAGTGCCTTGGATTCTTGGTATGGTATCTTCTCGAATGGCTCGAGGAGATGGATGAATGAATGGATATACATCAAAAGGTGGAAATTTCAACGTTTAGGGGTGATATATATTAGTAACTGGCATGCAAATAAATCTGCAACCGGGGCAGTTGCATTCAATGCGAACCATGTTATACTCTTCAGATTACTGTATATATTGGCAACCATTTAAAATGCTGTTTATATATAGGAACTTGCAAATCTGCCAGCAGTTGAGTTGATTCAGAATGATGGTAGTCCTTCTGGTCCAAAAACATTTGTTCTCTGGAATCCTCCAGTGTGTCTAAAAACAGTAGGGCCCTGACAAATATTCGGGTTTCCACTCCCCCATTGGTTATTTTTCATTCCCCTGACAAATATTTAGCATTATCTGTTCGCAGGTTACAAAGAAATGTAAGGGTACTAATGCTATGAATTCTACTGATAGAAATAGAAGTGTTGTTGCTGGAAGATCAAGGTAACGCATGTTTATTTTTTTTTATCTCCTTTCATCATTGTTTTCATGAATCGTGAGTTTTAATTAATATATCTAGAGTTCTTTGTTAAATACAGTGACCAATTTCTATTTTACGTGCACTTTTTAGGACTTCGTAGTCCGTATAGTAAATTTCCATAATATGAGCAAATACATGCCCTGAAAATCACGTTAGCTTAGGCGGAATCCAATTGTAAAAAAACCTGTATTTATGAGTAAGAACTTTTCAATAGGAATTGATAACATGGTAAATAGTGATTAAATGACGCATATTAGCAAGGAATTGACTAATGAACTGGAGTTTATCATTTTGAAGAAGGTACACAAGCATATTCATGAATATGAACTGTGTTAAGGAATTGATACCATGGTTAATACTAACAGCAAGGAAGTCAGAAATGAAATGGAGCTTATCGTTTTGAATATGGCACTTTAGCATATAAGAGTTGTATAAATAGAAGTATGGACTATGTAGAAAACATCAATACTGCTATTAGGGAACAGATAAGCATGAACAATTCCCACATCTGGAAAGTGAAGCGAAGGCCAACCATTTCATATTTTAGCACATTTGTTTTATTAATCAACTCCCACTGTCCCAGTGTTTTCGTCAACGTTTCCTTTTTTAGCTGTCCTAGTGTTTTTGTCCACTTTCCCTTTATGGTAAAAAAGTATAAAGCCTATTTTAACCTCCATCAATTACTCAATCCAACCTCCCCACTACCCAATCTACCCAACCATCAATTACTCCTAACCAAACTGTTAGAGTGCATGAGTGCATCCCACATCGGAAGTCCAAGAGTAAAATAATCCGGTATATAAGCTCTTGAGTTAAACTAACTAATCGGTTGGATTCAATCTTTTAATGTGGTTCAACCCAAGTGTCTTATTACCCAATTGAGTTGTCCATACTCATCCCAAATTCTATCATGGTATCGGAGCAGGTTTTGGCCCACCTCGTTTGTCAAGGTGTCCGTCTAGATGTTCATTCCTAGCGGCCCGTTAGTCTTTAGCCCAGTTGTCTGTATGGAGTATGTATCCAACGGCCTGTGGTCTGTTTAACACGATTGCTCGTCTGGAAGTCCATACCCAGCGGCTCGTGGTCCTTTAGGTGTTGGCACTCAAAAAAAAAAGGGAATGGGAGTTCATTTGCAAGTGGTCAACCGGTTAGATTCAAAATGGCCCGGTTGTCCACTTGAGGGGGGGTGTTAGAGTGCATCCCACATCGGAAGTCCAAGAGTAAAATAATCCGGTATATAAGCTCTTGAGTTAAACTAACTAATCGATTGGATTCAATCTTTTAATGTGGTTCAACCCAAGTGTCTTATTACCCAATCGAGTTGTCCATACTCATCCCAAATTCTATCACAAACATTAATTACACAAATCCTAATTCAATCATACATCTTCACACGCCCATCTTTCTACACTATCTTTTTCCTATTTCGTCTTTCTTCACAACTCATCCCAAACCCTAGATCTGCTATGAGAATTGCCATGCATGTCCTTTCCTCTCGGCTGACGAATCCACCTCTTTCAAAGAGCGTGTGACACTCAAGTCGTGTGAAGTTGCCGTTCTCCTTCGTCTTGCCAAAGATCTGGATGATCTCATCACCCTTTACTCCAAAGATCTATATGGTGATTATGAAGGTCTGAGGGATGATAATGAAGATCTAGATGATCTTATCATCCTTAACTTTGAAGATCTATCAATTGGTCACTATGAATATCCTGAGAATGAAGATGAAGTAGTAATTCATAACTGTGAAGATGCAGAGTTTGGCTTTGTGGATGTTGACAACGTCATTGTCCTCGAATTCAAAGAGATGGAGGGGGAAGCTGCTAATTTGGAGGATGAGATGGTGCAGGACTCTAAAGATCCAGACGGTGCTAAAAAGTTCCATCATGCTTGTACTCTGAAGATGTTCTTTGTGTGAAGCCCAATCTCCCTCTGTTTTTCTAGAACTATCTCCGTCTTTGTACTTTATTGAAATCAATTACCTTAGTTAACAAAGTTCATTGTAATTTAGTATTTTAGTCCATCCTTATTGTTTAAAAGGTGGTTCACAGACTTTCTTTCCTCTAACGTTTATCTTGTTTTTTTGTGCCAAAACAAAATCGGACGAACTCTGGGACAAAGGGAGTGGTATTTATATTTTATATGTGGATTGAGATAAATTTATTCTGAAAAGGTGCTTTCGGTAATAACACAGGCCTGTAAAAATGTAATGTGATAAGTTTGTCTTTAACAAAAGTGTCAATTTCTTATGCTTAGGAAAACTGTGCTGTAACATCACATTAGATGATAAGAGTCATAGAGTTTAACAACTAAACATGAAATTTTGGAATTTGATGAATGTTTTCAAGTTTTGTAAATACATTCACGCCATTACTCTAGCCTTGCAATTGGTGATGGATGACTATTTGGTTGATGCATGGTCACTTCTTAAGTGTTTTTATTTTTGAAGGAGATGCTTTATTTCTGATATGTGTTAGCTGTTATGTAGTCCTATGATGGAGGTATCATACATTTTTTCCGAAATAGTGCAGCATGGGCTTCGTTGTATTGCATTTTGCAAAACACGCAAACTTTGTGAGCTTGTCTTAAGCTACACGTGCGTAAAATAACCTTTCTTAAATTTCTAATCTTAGCTCTTATATTTCGAAGACAACATGTAACATGTATGTTCTGTATGCCTGGCTATCATTAGACGCGAGATACTTAAGGAATCAGCACCTCACTTAGTAGACGCTATTGGTGCTTACCGAGGGGGATATGTTGCTGAGGTTTGCTTCTGCAACTGCTATGCCATATGCCCATATTCTTTCCTTTTAAACTAAACTTGTTTAAATGAGCATGAACAGTACTGTACTCTGCTATGAAAATTTACAGTACTATTTCAATTTTATGTACTACCGGAGTATTCCATAAAGTGCTTACCCATTGTCAGCTTTATTTTTTACAACTCCATTTGTACAAATGTAATGAGTATGTGTACTCTGTGAACATCAATTATATTACAATGTCTATATTAGGTCATCCTTTTGACACTAGTTACTTGATGTTGCAGGATAGGAGAAGGATTGAACAAAAAATTTTTCAGGGTAAGATGTGTGGTATTGCTGCTACGAATGCTCTCGAGCTGGGAATCGATGTTGGACACATTGATGTCACTTTACATCTAGGCTTTCCGGGTAGTATAGCTAGGTAAATGCTCAGTTTATGGTCAGCTCCATATTGCTGTATTGTCTTGGTGTACTTGATGGGCTCTGTGTCTTTTTTTATTTAGTCTATGGCAACAAGCTGGAAGATCAGGAAGAAGGGGAAATCCATCAATCGCTCTATATGTTGCTTTTGGAGGGCCTTTGGATCAATATTTCATGAAGCTCCCAACAAAACTTTTTAGGAGTCCAGTTGAATGTTGTCATATTGATGCGAATAACCCACAGGTTTTTCTTTTTAGGACTTATCATTTTTTGTTGGATTTTACATCTATGCACCCCAAACATTGATCTGCCTCATAGTTTGCACCCCTAATTTTCATCTCTTTACTGTACTCCAATCTTTGATCCACTTACAAACCCCGAATTTTGATTTGCCTTACCATTTAATTTCTATATGTATTGACCATGTAAAAGATAGTCTTTAGTTGTATCCAAATTCTACACTCTACTTTCTGGGAGGAGTAAGGCCTGCATACACACACCCTCCCCAGACCCCACCATGTGGGATTTTGCTTTGTCTGTTGTTTTGTATCCAAATTTAATCTGAGTTAACTGTTTTCAATTTTTTAAAAACAAGTTTAGCCTATATAAAAATGGATTTTAACTATAATCAATAAAAACCTTAATCCATCAGATATACTTAAAGTAACATACTTTGTATATTACTTTAATTATATTTGATAGATTATGGTTTTAATTGTTTATAATTAAAGACCATTTTTTATATGATTATTGGTTGGCCGTGCAAAAAAACATCATATATTCTTTGAAGGTCCAAAGCCTGTTGGGATCAGCAATTTAGCATTCATTAATCAGTATCCATCTCCAAAGGAGCAATTACTTCAAGAGGGAAAATGTAGAGTTCAATTCTGTTTCTTTAGATGTGTTCAATATTTTTTGTTCGATCAATCTAAAAAGTTCTAAAACGTCCTTAAGCATATGAGAAAATGAAGACCCTATAATACTTCCAAAAAACATTGTGTATGCACAGAGACGCAATATATGTGAAGAGTTTAGGGAGTACACTGCCATGCTCTATATAATTCCTCCCTATGGCATCTATCCAAATTTTTAATCTTTTGATAACAACTACTTTTGGATACAACAAAAAAATTCTTTTACATGGTAAATACGTGTGGAAACTAAACAATTGAAGAAATTATGTTAAAAAATAATTATAAATTATAAATTTCTATTTTCATAAAAGCAATTAAAGATTAGAGATGCAAACTGTAAGGTGGGTCAAAGTTTGTGGTGCATAAGCATAAGGCACTACTATGTTTGAGGTGCTCTGGAATTCTAGAAAGATATTCGATGATTAGGGGTGAAAACTGTATGATGGATCCGGGGTTCATAAGTGTAAAAATAGATGCCATACATCCGTGGTGCATTGGTTGCATATGCATTAGCGTCCAATCATGTTAAGAATTTGGGTGCACTAGAGACACATGAAGATTAGGGTGCAAACTACAAGGTGGAGAAAAGTTTAGGGTGCATAAGTGTAAAAAATCCTGCATCTTTATCCTCTTGTTCTACTAGATTTTGCTTTTGAACCAATCTCTTAAGCTCAAATCTAATTAGGAGATTACAATTTCTTTAATCTGTGATTCCTACAGGTGCTTGAACAGCATGTGGCTTGTGCTGCTTTTGAACACCCTCTAAGCTTGCATCATGACGAGAAGTATTTTGGTCCTGGACTGGAATCTGCAGTAATGACCCTAAAAAATAAGGGATATCTGAATACTGACATGTCACGCAATGTTAGTGCTAGAATTTGGAGCTACATTGGGCCTGAGGTATTCCATTATTTCATGTAGTTAAATCTGCGTTGGCCTCCAAGCTGAGGTATTGATACTATCAAACATTTTCAGGATTTTGTTTTTTTATTATTGATTTATATTTCAGAAAATTCCTTCAAATATTGTAAATGTTCGAGCAATTGAAATAGAACGGTACCAAGTAATTGACAAGCAAAAGAATGAAGTTCTAGAAGAAATTGAAGAGAGTAGGGCATTTTTTCAGGTAAATGAGATGCAAACATTTAGTGAGGGCTTGCTTCAAGGATGACATGTTCTTGTTTCATTGAAATTAGTCTGTCTGGGACTTTCTAAATTGTTTAATACTCGTGCTGGGTCATTGTTAATTCATACAAAATTTGTTACTTTACTCTACAAATAGTTCAAGCTCATCTAAGACTAATAGTATGCAATGTGTTATATGTAGTGTATAGTGCATCTCATCAAAGACATCCTCAACTAATTTCTTTTGTCACGTAAACATGGAAGATATCATTTGATTGCTTGTTCAGTACTCCCTCCGTCCCATTATACTTTGCCCATTTTTCAACTTTACCATCAACAATAACAACAAACCAGTGTAATCCCAATTGGGTATGGGGTCAAATGTATGCAACTTACCCCTGTAGATAGGTTTTCCAGTTGGGCCCTTGCTGCATTGCTACACTTTCCAAAACTTCATAGAAAGTAAAAAGCAAGAGAAGTTTAGAGCAATTTTGATGTAGGGGTCATTCAGTTCAGTACTGAATGGTATTGGACGGAACAGAACACTACTGAGAATAAGTCGAATTGAACACCCCCTTAGTCTATTATTCATCTGAAATTAAAACATTGTCAAAATTGACTTTTTAAGTTCCATTTGTCATATTTGTACCATACCATATTTTCTATGCTTAAGATATTCAATGTCAATGACACAATTCCTTTTACTTGACATGAATAACCCCTCCTGTAGCCACAAGCAGGAGGGGTTATTCATCATATTTGTACCATACCATATTTGCTATCCTTAAGATAGCAGTATGTTCACTAACCTACTGCTATCAAATTCACACACTATTTCCATTGATCTTGTAGGTTTATGAAGGGGCTGTTTATATGAACCAAGGAAAGACCTATCTTGTGAAGGACATGGATTTATCAAGTAAAATTGCTTGGTGCCAGGAAGCAGACCTGAAGTATTACACAAAAACCCGTGACTATACTGACATTCATATTGTTGGGGGTAACATTGTAAGCAAAGATTAATACACACAAGCATACCCACCTTTTTTTAGTCACATGTTTTGATATTTGTCAATGCAACTTTGAAATCTTATATCCTTTTTAGGAGGGGTTCCCTTGACATTGGAACCCCATGTCATGGAATGACCCGGGGCCGCTACGGTGCCCCATTCGTAAAATTGACGGTTCCTATCCCCCCGGTAAACCCCCCGCCCCGCCCTGACCCGAACACACCTCCCACCCCCTTCAATTGAACCCCCAACTTTATTTGACTTTGGGGTGGGGGTGTGTTCGGGTCGGGGCGGGCGGGGGGGTTTACCGGGGGGATAGGAACCGTCAATTTTACGAACGGGGCACCGTAGCAGCCCCGACTCATTCCATGACATGGGGTTCCAATGTCATGGGTGTAGAAAACTGATAGGAAGAACAGATTGGTATGCAGAATAGAATTTTTATTGATGTAAAAACTATACAGGAATATTTGTGTTCACTAAATATATATAGAGAACAGACCAACATGACTTTTACTAACCAACACAACTATTACAAACCAACACACCTATTAACAATATAAACTACCCATAACTGCCTTTTAGAAACTTCCTTATTGTTTTTTATTTTAAATTAATTAAATATGTAAAACACACTAAACGACACCACACTAATTGACTCTATACTAACTGACCCAAACATCGACTCATTACCCATTCGGTTATATGTGAACAAACCCGATTAAATCTAACAATCACGCCCTTAATCGTTGTTTGTTCACACTGATCTTCACAACAACGTTGGTTCATCATCTTCAATCAAGTTTGCAATCTGTTCCTTTTGATCCCATTTTGGACATTCGTTCAAAAAATGCCCTAACTCATTGCACTTGAAGCACCTAACGTGACTTTTATCCCGCTTAAATGCCTTTTAGAAACTGCCTTATTGTTTTTTATTTTAAATTAATTAAATATGTAAAACACACTAAACGACACCACACTAATTGACTCTATACTAACTGACCCAAACATCGACTCATTACCCATTCGGTTATATGTGAACAAACCCGACTAAATCTAACAATGGGAACCACCCGATCCTTTTTTAGTGGTCAATTGGTATTAGTATCCATGTGCCAGGGTTTTGATGAAGAATTTCCTCTGACTAAAAGATATGTGCTAGGGTTTAGACAAACAACCCCTATCATATGCATGCTGAGTGCCACATTAGGTGAACAGTTCAATTGCTTCAAATCACAGTACCCCAAAAAATTGCAGATTGATATTACTTTTAGTAAATTCCTGTTAGGGATCAGAAGAGATCACAGGGATAGATGAATAACCCCTCCTGCTTGTGGCTACAAGACGAAGTACTTTGGATCCTATAGTCTGTGACTAATTAGGAAGAATTGTTTTCTTGCTGTAATGATAATCTTAATGAATACAAGTCCTGTATTTATACCGCTCCCAAGAATCTTTGTGGGCAAGTGAATGGTTTGGACATGTGAGGTGGCAGAGTGTTGAGGCCCCAATGTGGATAAGTAAGAGGCTTACAGTGGTGGGAGGGCGTAAGGGAATGAGTGGACCTAGGAAGAATTGGGATGTGATTAGGCCGGACCTAGAACTTTTGGCCTTTACCGAGGTATGACTTTGGTGGTAGTTTTCGCACTTGTTGTTGTGTGCTTTTTATGCTTGGCATTTTATTCTTTTATGATTTATGTTTGCTATGTTTGACATGCCTTTCCTATGTTATTTAGTTTGTTCATGGCTTTTTTTGGCTCTGTGCTTTCTCTGCTATGTGTCTTCTATGTTCTCGTGCGATCTGTGTTACTTGAGCCGGGTATCTTGGAAACAGTTTCCTTAGTTTCAAGTAGGGGTAAGGTCTGCATACAACACCCCTCCGGGATGCTACTCTCCTGAGATCCAAAAGGGTTGTTGTTGTTGTAGTTATCACGACGCCACCATGGATTGCCAAATTGCTAGGTCCACCTAGACGGTAGATAGCTGGTGGATCGCCAGGTCGCCTAGTTGACCAGTTATAACTTAAAGTACTATAAAATACTCCATATATTATAATTCATAAATTATAAGGTGGATAGCGATGCTAGATTACTAGTGGACTGCCAGGACACCTAGTTGACCTGTTATAACTTAAAGCACAATAAAATACTCCATATATTAGAATTCATAAATTATAAGGTGGATAGTCATTGTAGTTTAATATTTTTTTAAAAAAATAAAGTACATAGGGTCAAATATCAAGATTCAAGAAGGCTGTCACCCGAAAGGCCGTCTTCTCCCTCATTATCAGCCATGTTACAAGCGGGAGTTGGTAGATTTTGGCCAAAGTCATCCTTAACGCCTTTATCATCACCGAGAAAGTTCTCAATTTCTTCATCTCACAATTCCTCATCAATCTATCATATAGCTGAAGGAGACTTTAGCATTCCGTATGAAGATCTGCAGAAGTTTAGCTTCGTTGGTATGTGATCTCCTCGTAATATTACGTCCTTCAAGATTGTTAGATTACTTAGATGCACCTAAACTTCATCAACTTGTGTCCACAAAAGAAAACCTCTAGGACATAGTTGTTATGGCGACTAGACAAGGCTGGGCACTAGAATACCGTCCAATCGCCTAGGCGATTAGGCACCAGATTGGGTGAGTGGGATATGGCAACCTTGAGATTTTTGTAGGTGCTAGTGTGAAAGCATGTAGTATAAAAAAGGTAATTAAACAGTACATTCTTACCAACATTATGCAACAAGGGATTCCAAAAACAGCACAACTCAAACTCTCAAAGTGAACAAATAGTGTTTTTTTAAATTTAAATTTAAAAATATACTCAGTTAAATTGTAAAAGTTTTTTTGATAATATATGCAAGTACGTATAACTCGTATTTAAATATATAAGTACCAACTAAAAAATTACCAAAACACATTATTATAAATAAAAGAAAATCAAAACAGGCAATAGAATAAGTCAACAAGTCAACAACTCAGCAAGTCAGCAGCTAGACAAGATGAGGAAAAAAAGAACCGGCATGCGATGAACTGGACAGTGGACACTATCTTTCTTTTTAAAATAATAAAAATAAATCGCAAGTTATTCTTTTTTGCGATGCGGAACCTTCTCTGTTTCTGCGATGCGGCGATGAGCGAGATGCTTAGATAATGTCATGATGGAAGAACTGTGAGAAGCCAACCCTAGTAGGAGAGGATTGGGTTCATATTTCTATCTCCCTATATAGAATTATACTCAAAATAACGAACATGACAATCCTTGTCACTATCGTTCTCAGAAATTTCACGAATCGTCTTTTTTGTCCCATCAAGTTACTTACCCAAAGAATATGATTCTTTATTAACTGGAGCTTATCGCAGAAGGCCTAAAAACGAACGAGGTATTTTTCCAAAACAGGAAAACTAAACTTTAACTGATCCTTTCGTTGCTTAGGCAATGCCATGACCACTATGCTCTAGGATGAACATCATTGCTTACCCATTCACTATTCCACTGGAAATCTGCAAACCCTAGATACGGTAACAATTCTCTTCAAGCTCAACAGCAATTATTGCCTATCACCATCCTTGCGTTGATATTACCCACTACTCCCACTAGGCCCACTGGTACAAATGCATAATACCTTGATTGGGTTTGATCTTACTATGTAAACATTTGGTGGCTTGTTTGCCTTTGGCTAATGGAGCCTATTAAAATAGGTCTCACGTTCAAACTCCAAAGACAATCGCTTCCAAAATTGTTAAGGTTGTGTACACCTTCATTCCTTAGACCTTATAAGAGGCAGCACATTTGCAGGCATTTTAGCTTTGAAAATTTCAGAGAGCAGAATTATTGTCAATTCATCACTTCTCAAATTAAGTTAGACTTTTAAGATTAAGAGTGAACAACCTCAATGGTAGTATTTGTTGGGTCCGCGTGTACTCTCATCCCAACCCCATATGAGTATGATATTATCTGTTTTGGGCCAAGCCCTCACAGATTTGTTTTTGGGCATCTCCCAAAAGGCCTCACACTAATGAGTTGGGTTGAATCTTTATATTTAGGTCTCTTCTTCCTTCTCTCTATGGTGTGGGAATGGGTTTGCTACCAACCAATATTGACTAAATTTACCTTGCTTTTATATTAAATCATTTCAATTTCGTTAAAACAAACCATTTTCTACTCCGTTTTAATATTTGCTACTCCCTCCGTCCCACTAAACTTGGGATACCGTGTGTTGCACTCAAGATAAGATAAAATTGAATGGTATGATTGATATTAAATGTGTAAAGTATGCATAACATAAGGATAGTTTTGGACACACGAATATGACATATGTGGAATGTGGAATGAGATAGAGATAGTGAGACACAAAATGGTATAAAGTACAAACATAGAGGGACGTAGGGAGTATTATGAAAAACAATATTTTGAGGGCAATTGGGTAGGGATTTTGGAAATTGATTTTATCCGCATTCCAAAACCCAATTGAAACTTCCTATGCACATACCATGCTAGATAATTGTGCTTGGCATCATCAAAAGGTGCTTTATTTGCAGAATTGCAGGAGTTTGTAGAAACTCAGTTATGTTCTAAATAAGTTGGTATTCTTATTGCACGTGAACTTCATTCTCAGTATTGTGAGGGTTCTATTATATTTTTGCTCTCTTACTATTCATACATGATATATATTGCTGGCTGGTGTTAATGATTCTAATCCATTGGCTCATTTGCTTTTAGTCATATCCACCGAGGAATTCTAATATCCAGTTCGCAAGAACAACTGCACAAGCACAATTCTGCAGAGTTACCACTACATGGTTCGGCTTCCGTCGAATATGGAAGAAAAGCAACCAAGTCTTTGACACCATTGAACTGTCACTTCCAAACTACTCTTATGAGTCCCAGGTGAAAGCCGATCGACATATGTCCACTGTGTCTTATTTATGTTAGTTCCCTCCGACTCTTTTTAAATGATATTCCTATTTTCATGCCCAGAGCAGGCTGTCTGGGTTCCAGTCCCTGCGGCAATAAAGAAAACAGTTGATGCCTTAAGTTATTCATTTCGAGGAGGTTTACATGCTGCTTGCCATGCTGTTCTTAATGTAGTTCCTTTGTGAGTTTTCAACATTTGAAACATCTATTGATGGCGTCTTATAGTTTTGTTAGTGATTAAAGGTGTTTAAAATGATCTCTTAGTGGTTAGGTTCTCTCATTACTTCCTGAACCTTGCACATATAGGTTTATAATTTGCAATGCATCTGACATAGCTTCGGAGTGTGCAAACCCTTATGATGCACGTTGTGTTCCAGATAGAATTTTACTTTATGATCCACGCCCGGGCGGAACTGGGATTGCAGCGCAGGTGTGCTTTAAGTGATTCGAAATATCATTATATTCTCTTCAATGATCTGTTAATTTTTCAATGCCGCAACAAGGAATCTGGAATATGAGAGACTATTACAATTTTAGCATGATCATTTAAAATGATACAAACACCTAGTTTAGATCCAAAATATTGCTTATCCTTCTAACCTTTGCAGGTTCAACCTGTATTTACCGAGCTTTTGACTTCCGCCTTGGAACTTCTCACATCCTGTCATTGCTCCGGTGATGCTGGTTGCCCTAATTGTATACAAGTTAGTTTTAACCCACATTCCAAAATTTTCATTTTTAAAAGTTGTTACTTCATATACCCATATATTATATCACATGTTATGATTTTCTCGAGTTATATATGTTTATGATATGCTTCAGAATATTATTTGTCAAGAATATAATGAGGTTCTACACAAGGATGCAGCCATAATCATACTTAAGGTACAACTGATGACTTATGCATTTATTTTTAATTTCACGTCATATGTGAACTCTATGCAAACCGTTTGTCGTTCACATTAACTGTGTCCATGCAGGGTGTTATCAAGGCAGAGCAACTATGTGCATAGTAACTGTGTTTTGCCGAATCAAATTTGCTGACTCTTGTTTCCAGGACTGGGTTGGAATTCACTTGTCAATTCATTCATTACCAAATACATGTGTTTGAAGTTTAAACATTACTCCGATCAGGGCTGGGAATTTTACAAGTTAAATTTCTTAATAATCTTAAGAAACAAATGTAAAGTATGCGTTGAATTATAGTGTGTAATCCCAAGTGTTTTGATTAAGGGTACAATCTTGTTCCTCATACTTTGACTTCTTGAGCCAAAATCTCTACTGGTTCCTCTTCGTAGAAAAGCGTCTCAGCTAAGGTTACCGCTCCGGGTGTGATAATGTGTGAATGATTTGATCAATACTTTCTCAACATTGATACATGAAAAACGTTATTGATCTTGCTCTACTCTGAAGGTAGTTCAAGTTTGTATGCCAATGTTCCCACATAATCTATTATACTGTATAAGGGCTCATGAATCTAGCCTTGAGCCTCTCGTCGAGTTCTGTCCAGCAAACATGTGTTCTGCATCTTCTCCCATACACTGCTTCTTATGAGGCCATTTTTTATGCTATCTAGTATATAGTTAACAATTAAAAAAAAATAGTACTAAGCAAAAAAAAATAAAACAAGAGATGTAGATAGGCGGGGACTACTCATTGAGAAGCCCAAATATCTATTCGTCCATTTATTTTTGGCTAATTAAGGCTCGTTGCCCCTCTGCTTGATTGTTTGGAAAGAAAAGTTTTAGCAGCCCAGAATCAAATACTCATCAGGGATGACTGAGGCAGTCTGTCTTTGATATGCACCTTTACAAATCTTCGGGACCAGATGGTTTGAGCCCGGGATTCTTTCAGCATTTTGGGATATTGTGGGTCGGGAGGTTACTTTATTTTTCCAGAATTTGTTTGATCTGGTAAGTTGCTTGACAACATCGATAATACTTTTATCACACTTATTCAAAAAAAAAAAAAAAAGATAAACCGGAGACGGATGGATCTGCGGCATATCGCCCTTTGTGACATTTTGGATAAAGTGGCTGCCAAAGTGTAAGCTAACCGACTTAAACCCCTTCTACATATATTATTATTTCTAACGACCCATTTGCCTTCGTACCACGACGCTCAAGAATTAATAATATTATGCTTGCTTACGAATCTCACCACTTTCTGAAGAGAAAAACTCAGAATGATATTCGTGTCACAACATTGAAACTTAAAGAATAACCCGCGCATAATTGTGAGCAATTCGATGCATGAATGTGTTTGAGAATAAGTGGACAAGTTTGATGCATGAATGCATTTCAGAATAAGTGGACGAGTTTGATGGGTGAATGTGTCTCTTCTGTTAGTTTTTTTTTTTTTTTTTGTGTTGCACGAAAGTTTAGGAAATTTAATATTGCTTTTCTTGGTAAGGAAGCCTGGAGATTGCTTAGCAACCAAAATTCTTTGGTTTCTGAGAGTGTATAAAGCTAAGTATTATTTGAGGAATTCCTTCATCAATTCTCAATTGGGTGGTAATCCCTGGGAGAAGCATATTTGAAACTAAGGCTATTATTAAAAGAGGTTGCCTGTGGGTGGTTGGTTTGGGGAGTACGGTGAAGATCGATCTAGGAAGATGTTTGGCTTCCGCACTCGGGAAACCCATTCGTCGAAACAAACTGAAGCTCCGACATATTTGAGGAATGCTACTATGGATAGTTTGATGGCGGGGCCTGGTTTGGGGTGGGACTCTGAATGTGTGAGGGATATTTTAAGCGAACTTGGTGATCCATAACATCCCGCTTTGTGAGCATCTGCGTTCAGATACCTTGACTTAGAGATGGGAGGAAAAAGGGGTCTATTCGGTTAAGAGCTGTTATAAAAATATTGTGTCTAACAATACAAATGAAGGTGAACTTGCTTGGGCTAAGATGTGCAAGTTAAAGCTTCTTCCTAAGTTTAAAAACTTCTTCTGGGAGTTGTGTTTAGGATGCCTTCCCATGGCAGATTAGCTATGGCAGAAAGGTGTGCAGCTTGACGGGGGTTGCCACTTTTTCTATCTCATCCAGGAGACTTGTGAGCACATTTTTATGTGGTGTCATATTATTAAGGATTGCTGGACGCAGGTTGTGTTGGACATGAGTTCAAACCCCTTTATTATTTCTTCTGGAATATATTTTTTTGTTTTGATGAATGACAAACAGGATGATTAAATTCAAGCTGATCGGAAATTTATTTTTCGTATCGAGAAAAGCAAAGAGGCGTATCAAGATTTTTTTCTGTGATAAAATCAACGATCACCCCTACGCAGTTTTTGAAATGAAGTGAAGATTCTGAATACCTTTTTTTTATTGAGTCTAGGAATTTTTGTAAGGATGACAATAACTTCTGCATAAACAAATTTTTTTTGTGATAAAAAAACTATTATTTTCTGAGTCAGTTGAAAAATTATTTTTCCTCTGTCTAAAAATATTTTACTGAGTCAGTTTCAAAATAGTGTATCAAAATTTCCTAAAAGTTTTTTTTTGGATACACATTTTTTATAAGAAAAATATACTTTAAATATTTTTCGTGTACATCGTTTGACACACAAAATAATTTTTGGACTCGTTTTCTCTCCCCTACTCAAATTCATTGAATAGGAGATATTATCTTTGAGGAGCGTCCGTTGATATTCTCGTTGTCCCAAACAACGAGTTAGAAGCCAAAGGCTTCCAATCGCACTTGGCTTGGGCCCTTTATGTTTGCACATTATTTCCACTTTAATCGATTAAATTTTCTAAATTAATCGATTAGATCCAGTTCCTTAGCGCTGGATTTCTCAGGCCTTCAGTATTAATCGATATTTATTATTCATTTAATCGATTAGTTCTCACAGCGCAGTCTAATTGATTTTTCCATCAAACTTAATCGATTAAGATTGCATTCTTCGCTGAAGACTTTTTCCAATTAATCGATTTTTATTCTTCACCTTAATCGATTAGTTCAGACAGCGCCGTCTAATCGATTACTTTCTCCACTTTAATCGATTAATTTTGTCTGTTGCCTATTCTCAGCCTACTCCAACGGTTCTATTTTCTTCAGCCTATTTAATCCCTCATTCTCCTTCATTTTAAGATACAACTCTTGCACTCCAATATCTTCATTTGAGCTATATTCATTTCTTGCTTCCATCTTCCTCATCAAATATATTATTTTGAGAGTTAGAAATATTTTATTGAGTGCTAAAGATTTTGTCATCCATAGAGCTTTAATTCTTCGACACTACTTTGCTCAATTGTGTGAGCTTTCATTCTTGTTGTTAAACTCAATCTCATTTGAGTGTTGTTCTAAAGACATGTGTGACTCAAGTCTTGTTGTTGTAAGAAAGTGAGGCTTGTGTGATTCAAGTTCTCAAGTTGTACCGGTTTTTCAAGCACCCGTTGAAGCTTGAAGATTAGTAGGACTTTCGAGAGAGTCTCTCGGAGGACTGGACTAGCCACGAGGTGGTGAACCAGTATAAATCTCGGTGTTCTTCTTTCCCTTACTCTCTTTATTTATTCCTGCGATTTTATTATTTCACACACGCGAAAAACGCACATTCTTGAAAACAACTCTGTTCACCCCCCCTCTAGAGTTGCACATTTGTCTAACAGGTTGGGTGTGGAATTTTCCTTTTGCCTAGTGGTACTATGATTGATTGGATTAATATGAATTGTTCTAATCTCGTTGATGAGGCATTGAGCATGGGATCATGGTCTATTGGAGTTCTTGGAACAATAGGAATAACATTTGTTGGAGAGATATGAAGACCTCAGCTACTCAAATCATTAACGCAACCGTTTCTTTTCTTGGTAACTGGCGGAGTTCTGCTTGTTAAGGGGTGCTCTGTCAAAATGCGGGTAACAGCGAGACAGTTTGTTGGATGCCCCTGGTCCTGGGTGATTCAAATTGAACACGGATGTATCCCCCCGTTCTTGGTAATTCTCATATGGGTGTGGCTGTATACTTCGAGATTCCTGGATAAGTTCGTTACGACTAAAGTTACACCATGGTCTAGCAGATTCCAGCCCAAGGAGGCAGATGATATGAGCATTAGAGAAGCTATGAGTTAGCAGATGGAGTTAGATTTTGAAAACGTTGATATTGAGACTACAAGTAGCTTTTGCTCTTGAGTTTGAAGTCTTTAATTTTTCTTTTAGTTTCATTATTTCAGTTACTAAGAAAGTTGCATTACATTTTAATATTTTGAACTTTAATTTTGTTAAGAGATTTACAAATGATGCTACCCACCTTGTGGCTAGGGAAACCGGTTCTATACCTAATCTAGTGAAATTATAAGTCATTCCACCTCAGTTCCTTGTAAACTCTATTGCCTTTGATTTAATCAATTAATCTGTTGTTGTCAAAAAAGAAAGGATGAACTCCATCCCTAAAGATCCCTTAGATTCGTCCGGACGGTCATCTCAGGGCATCACTAGTAGAGAGAAATGAAAGGAAGAATAAGATGATGTGGAAGGAGAAAGAAGAGAAGAGTGATTAGAAAGGAGAGGAGAGAGATTGTTGAAATTTTTGGCATTTTTAATAGGCATTAAATGGACCAACTTGGGTATATTTATCAATAGGTCCACTAACGGTTTTAACCGTTAATTAATGGATGTGTGTTCTCTTAAATGAGATAAATGTTTTGATAATTTATACGCCAAAAATGGTAGAGGGTGAATGAGAAATTGATTCTCAGAGTTAACCCGTTAATAAAAGAATATGGTAAGGATTGCAATTTTTTGCAATTTTACTGAGCCAATCTTCTTTTATTAATTTTACGTATTGTTTAAAATTAGTCCATTTTTACGGAGTTAACTGGCCATTAATCTCCAATTATTCGGGACAAATTTTAAACGGAGCGTAGCGTAACGGACGTGTTAATGGCTAATTAATCACCATTAACACACTATTAGTGTGCCACAAATGCCATGGTTTAATATTAAGAATAAATTGTGTAAGTTACATTTTTCAATTTCTTAGTTATAAAATCAAATCAAGAGGCTCTTCTTTCTGGGTGGTGCTTCACGTGAGAAAAAAAAAAGGAAAAAGAAAGAAAATCTTTCTTGTTTATTTTTTGAGAGAGCTCTTGGTTTTCCGGCAATTCCCTTCAAAGTTTTTGGTCGCCAACGTTCCTACGTTGTTCTTGTTCGTTGGTGTGTGGTTGGTCCGTACAATCTCCACACACGATAGCGGTTTTATCATGGGAGGAGAGTGCCCACGTTTTTCCGGTACGGTAGGCAGGCACTACTACCTTAAGGACAGCTCTGGCAACTCCGCTGTCCTTCACGGTGTTTTGTTTTGCAGGTTTAGTTCATAAAGACCTCGCTGTATTCTGCCCTAGTGCATAATGTCCTCGCAGCCTAGTGCATAATGTCCTTGATGTCCAGTGCTTAATGTCCTCATACAACAAGACTGTTTGAAGATATATAAATTTATTTTCAATTTCTGTTTATCTTGTAATATTCTGAATAAGTTATAAATTCAGAATTTTATTTTTTTAATTTTCCGAGGCCGTTCATCTTCCCCGTCCGTTGTAATCCGTACAAAAATTGTAACAATCTTAAGGTAGTAGTCATATCCGTGCGCAATGGCGGGTATGGACGGATTCGGTTTTGACGCTCACATCGGAAACGGGAGTAGTTCCGAGACTCCAGTTGTGATCGTTTTGGCTGGATTGGGTGGCTCTGTAGGGAAGACCACTCCGATCAACATTCCTTTCGGATCGAGTGCGGCCATGGGGTCCACTCCGATCACCACCTTCGTTGGATCGAGCGCGACTATGGGGTCCGCTCCGGTCACCTCGGTTATTGGACCAACCGCGGCTACGGCCGCAATGGTCACCCCACTCGGACCGAATATGGCTTCGGCCATACCGGTCATTCCTTCACTTGGACCGAACACAGGTGTTTTCACATCCGCACCGGTCGGACATCCTACTGTTATGCTGCCTGCGAACTCTGTCAAAGAACCGGCAAAGTTCATAGGTGTTGGTTTTAAAATATGGCAGCAAAGGATGTTATTTTGGCTGACCACCCTCAACCTTGCGAGGTACTTGAGGGAGGATCCCCCTGTTGTGGGGGAGAACGCGGACGAGCCAACAGTTCAGGCCAATGTGGTGGAGCATCCACTCAAAGAGGGTTCTTCCAAAGGGCCTACGCCAAACAAGGACAAGAAGAAAATTGGTCCTAAAGGAGGCTATTTTATCTAGCAATTATTTGTTAAATAAAATACCCTGAAAAAAAAAACTCGTTAAGACTCCTTACGAGTTGTGGTCTAATAGGAAACCTTCCTATAAATACCTGAAAGTGTGGGGGTGCCGTGCAAAAGTTTTAGCACCACCACCAAAGGAAATAAAGATTGGTCCAAAGACCATTGATGGAATCTTTATTGGCTAGAGTGGTAGCGCGTATCAATTCTTAATGTATAGGTCTGATGATTCAGAAATACATAAGAACACATGCAAAGAGTAACATGTATAATGGTAAGTCTAGACATATTCGTCGTAGACACAAAACCATTAGACAACTTCTCAGAACTGGGATTATTACAATTGACTATGTGAAGTCAAAAGATAATCTGGCAGATCCGCTAACCAAAGGGTTAACAATTGAGTTGCATGAGAAGTAGGTGGCAGGAATGGGTTTGAAGCCCTTGTGCTAGGATAGTCCTATGAAGGAAAACCCAACCTGGCTGGTACCCAGGTTCAATGGGACAACCTACTTGTAGGATTAAGCATGGTCACTATGGGGGCGGTACCGGAACCTCCGGTCCGTCCCTTCTGTTCCTGCTGAAGACAGTGACTCCTGAAAATGATGAGGCAAGCATATAAATATGCTTTAATGATTCTTAATCAATAGACACGGTGGTCTAAGTGGAGTAATCGGGATACTCTTAAAGAATCACCTATGTAAGAGTGAAGTGTGGTCGCTTCAAACGGAGGATCTTGGGCTTAATCCTCTAAACACTCTCGCAGAACCAGGCGCGTGTCCCACGACCAAAATGGGCACAACCATGAGAACAGAATGACGTTTGGTTGGAGTTTGTGTATTGTATACTATCGTTTACACAAGCGGCAGTACAGTTCAAAGACATCGCGTTCTACTGAACAGCCAGTAAAGAAGGTATACCTTACAAGGGACATGTTCAAAAGTGGAGACACTTACATGTTCTATGCAGATTTTCAACCGTGGGATGTTGTCGATCCCAAATCAATTTTTCATTCATGTGGGGGATTGTTGGAATTTTTGGCATTTTTAATAGGCATTAAATGGACCAACTTGGGTATATTTGTCAATAGGTCCACTAACGGTTTTAACCGTTAATTAATGGACGTGTGTTCTCTTAAATGAGATAAATGTTTTGATAATTTATACGCCAAAAATGGTAGAGGGTGAATGAGAAATTGATTCTCACAGTTAACCCGTTAATAAAAGAATATGGTAAGGATTGCAATTTTTTGCAATTTTACTGAGCCAATCTTCTATTATTAATTTTACGTATTGTTTAAAATTAGTCCTTTTTACAGAGTTAACTGGCCATTAATCTCCAATTATTCGGGACAAATTTTAAACAGAGCGTAGCGTAACGGACGTGTTAATGACTAATTAATCACCATTAACACGTCATTATTGTGACACAAATGCCATGGATTAATGGTGTAGGAGTTACACTTTTTAAAATTCCTTAGTTATAAATATCAAGGGCTCTCCTTTGTTTAGTGTGGTGTGTTTTATGTGTGGGTTTCACACGTGAGGAAGGGAAAAAAAAGAAAGGGAAAACTTTCTTGTTTAATTTTTAGAGAGGGCTCTTGATTTTCCGGCCAAATTTCCGGCCATCCCCTTCAAAGTTTTTTGGTCGCCAACGTTCCTACGTTGTTGTTGTTCGTTGGTGTGTGGTTGGTCCGTACAATCTTCACACACGATAGCGGTTTTATCCTGGGAGGAGAGTGCCCACGTTTTTCCGGTACGGTAGGCGGGCACTACTACCTTAAGGATTGCTCCGGCGACTCCGCTGTCCTTCACGGTGTTTTGTTTTGCAGGTTTAGTTCATAAAGACCTCGCTGTATTCTGCCCTAGTGCATAATGTCCTCGCAGCCTAGTGCATAATGTCCTTGCGGTCCAGTGCATAATGTCCTCGATGTCCAGTGCTTAATGTCCTCATACAACATGGCTGTTTGAAGATATATAAATTTATTTTCAATTCTGTTTATCTTGTAATATTCTGAATAAGTTATAAATTCAGAATTTTATTTTTTTTTTCCGAGGCCGTTCATCTTCCTCGTTCGTTGTAATCCGTATAAAAATTGTAACAGAGATGAGGGGTAATATTATTTCCCTAAAGAGAGAGAACAATGATTTGCCAATTACTTTTGTAATTTTTTCTATAAATGAAGACATGACATGTGAAAAAAGATAATCAAAAAATTAGGGGAATGATTAAAGAAGGGTGGGGAAATTTAAGGAGAAAGTGATTTAATATTGGAAGTAGATGATGTGAAAGAGGAATAGAGGAGAATGAGTAGTGATGCTCCAAGAGAAGATAAATTAGACTTTAATCATAAATTAGTGATGATGAGTGCAACCGGCACTTAATTAATTTTTGCAAAGGTCATATGCTTAGTATAGTTACTTCTCAGTACAATTGCCAGAACTAAATTCGAGTGTTATTCCATTTGCACACATTGCCTTGCCAATTGTGCAATACGCACCGACCTAATTCCTAAGGTTTTTAAGTCTGTGGAGGCTTTGGTATACATAAGTGGATGCCAGTCTCGAAGCGGAACACCCCCCCTCCTCAAAATAGGGTCTCGGTGTTGTGGGGATCAAAATGCAAAAAACCTAGAGTTTTTTTCTCTCTCCTCCTCCTCATCGCAGTTTCCGTCTTCTATTTTTTCTAGATCTAAGTCATTTAACTAATCTTCTTTAGTTTCTAGGTTTTTTTAAGTTTTTAATTTAATTTTTTTAGTTTTAAATTTTCAGTTGTAACTTTATGCTCCCTTCCCCCCTAAAAGATTGTCACAGTTTAACTTTTTTGGTCAGATAGTGGCACTTTTTGACCACGAATTAAGTATAATTTAAAACAATAAAATATTATAAAAGTTTGGTATTTCAAAACTATATCTTAAAATAAATTTAATTTTACTAAATTTACATTATAATTAAAGATACTTTTTTTCATAAATCGCGGTCAAAAAATATCACAATTTGATTAAAATTGTCAAAATGTGCCAATCTAGGGACGGGGGTTAGTAATTTTTTAGTTTATCTCGCATAGAGAAGCCAACAGATCCATTATTCCATAGTCATCAGACATTCAGACGCCATCAATTTCATGAGTTATGACAATATCATCACTTACATTTCTTCTTCAATATCATTTCAATATTTTTTTTAGAAAATGATACTTACACCCCAAACTTACCCCAATTTGTACCCCAATATAAAAGACCTCCCCCCACCCCACTCGTGCAAGTGACCCCCCATCTAATTCACTCTGCTTCTCAATCTTACTCTATCTCCTCCATTACCTTTTTCTTGCCGGTTTGAATGTCCTCCTCTCCTTCCATGTCGCCGCCGATTGATGCCACATACTTCTCTAAGTCCTCGCCGCTATCATCTTTGACACATTTCGTTGGCAGCACCTGTAACACCCTAATCCGTCCAGGTCTGCAGCCACTATCAGACTAAAGTATTAATTTGGTAATCGTAAAAATCTAAAATATTTCAACATCTTTATTCATCATAAATATTATCCAATACATAATTGTAGAAAAATACAGAGTGTTTAATAATAATGCGGAAGCAACTTTAAAGCATGTCTCATAACAAACATAATTATTTATTTTGTCAATAAATCCACCACGACTGTTTCTCCTCTTCCGCTTCCAGGAATATGCCAATTATTCATTATGTCTACCTGCGTGTAGCAAATAAAGCACACTACACGCTCAGCGATGAAGCTAAGTAAGCATATCTAAAGTGTCGAACATCCACATAAATTGAATCTCAATTCATAATTAAACATTTCATATCATGTACACAACATATATTCAAGAATTCATGATATTCTCAATATTTTATTTCAAGTCATTTTGATAATCAAATATCTCAACTATGCTCTTAAAATATTCTTAATCTAAGGCTAAATCATTTTATAACAAGCTCTTAGTTATTCTTAGTCTAAGCCCTAAGGCAATATTTCTAACAAGGATCTTAAACTATAAATAGTCTAAGGCAGAACACAAGAATCGATAATCCACCCTATTAGTCATGTGGATTACGTACCAACCGAACAATGATCTGTCGGGTGGGTGATATCCTTTCTAGATCCCGTACGTACGTTTTAACCCCGAATTATGAATTGGTCAAGGAGGTATATCTTAGAGTTTTTCTAGATATCCTTAATAATCATCATCAATATCCAAACAGGTATATCTTAGAGTTCTTCTAGATATCCTTAACAATACAGATTATCTTCATGATTATCAATATCTTCATTTTTTATTCATGATTTAATCATTCATAATCATTACTTTAATCAGAATATTCATCATCAATCAATAATATTTATCATAAACATAATTTGATAATAATAGCCAATAATAAATAGCGGCCTAGCATCGAGTGTTCACACTCTAGCTTATCGTAATGCATCATATAAGGTTTATTGGATTTGTTAAAACATCATATTTATTTTCAGAAATCATTTTCATATTGGTAATATTTGTTTGATATCAAGAATATGTTTTAAAATTAGTTTTTTGCATGAAATAATCGATTAAATAGAGATGGGAAATCAATTAATAGCTTCTGTCTTCAAATGCTTCAGTGGAACAAAGAGATAATCGATTATGTAGGATAAATTAATCGATTACTATCTATTAACCGATTAAATCAGAAGGCATTAATCGATTAACATAAATTAATCTATTAATCAACCATGAATTAATCTATTAATCAACCATGAATTAATCTATTAATCAACATGAATTAATCTATTAATCAACATGAATTAATCTATTAATTGATTAAACAGAATGAGTTAATCAATTAATGTATACTGTTCATCGTCTTCTTCTTCGGTCCATTTTCAAAAATATCATTTTACTCACCAAACTTCAATTAAATTGTATAGAAATCTTCTCCAATGTTCATAGGTCGTTTTAGAGTCATTAGTTTGTAGTTTTAAAATCAAATCCAAGGTTTATGATTCTTGGTTCTTTAAACATGTCAAACACAAAAC